TACTGTTTTCTTGGTCCCACCTATCATGTTCAGCTATCTCACTCTTGGGTTCTTTCACCCTTCCATTTATGTAACCAGCTTTTCCCCTTGCCGTTACATAAAGTTTTACACTTTTAGCCCACTCCAGGTAGTTTAAACCATTTAAAGGGGTAATGGGCATGGGAAACATCATGTTTTCACTTCCCATACCAATTGTGTTGCGGGTCGGTGTAACCCCCGATGAAGTTGAATCACAGTTTGCCATAAAGTACTGCTGAATCAGACCAAATCCCACACAACCTGTCCAACACTTGTACGAAGGTGCCAACCAGAAACTAACTTCACAGCATCAAACAGATAAGAAAGGGAGTCTTTTTCTGCGTCGCCCTTTCTTCTACTAGGGTCTCCTTGATATTACGACCAAGGAAGAACCCAAAGGAAGAGTCGCAAGTAGTCTGCTAGGGTTTCTCTGTCTTCCACGTCCAAGAAATCAAAGAAAAGAGGACGAAGCAGGTTCACATGGGAGAAACCAATTTTTTTATAGCCCAGAACCTTGCTCTGATACCATGTAATCATTCATGGAGAGAGAGAAAGAGAATAAGAGGAAGATATGATTGAGAGACAAAAAAACCAACTACTTCTGGTTGTTGCCAGTTTAGTTATTTATATTAACTTAATATAAAAGGAATGGGAGATTACAAGTATGCCCCTGGTGGCACTCCCTAGAAACAAACTAATAAGAAAGAAAGAAACTAACTGACTGACAGCATCTTAAGCTAACAACCCACTAATAGCAACTATAAAATAACAATTAAATAATCCTCACAACAAATCATCTCAAAAATTTTGGCTACCAGAATCCGTACTATCCTGGATAAATGTATTTCCCCAAACCAATTTGCTTTTGTCCCAGGTCATCAGATAATGGATAATACCATTATAGCACATGAAATGCTCCATTTCTTAAAACAGCATAAACGGGGTACAGGCTATGTGGCCAGCAAGTTAGATATGGCAAAAGCCTATGATCGACCAGAATGGCCTTTTCTTCTTTCAGTATTAAAAGCTTTAGGCTTTTTTGAAGACTTTCGTCACTTCATACTTGAATGCATTTCCACTGTGTTCTAATCAATGGTACTTCTGCGGGAAAAATTCTACCTACAAGAGGACTTAGACAGGGTGACCCTTTATCCCCCTATTTGTTTACTATAGCCATGGAATGTCTCACCCGAATGACTGCAAAAGATGAATATGATCAGTAGCTCCAAGGCATCCAAATCTCTGCTAGAGCTCCCCCAATTTCCCATTTATTCTTTGTATATGATATTCTTTTATTTATGCGAGGACATCGAGATGAACTAGATAACCTTAAAACTATCCTCCAACAATTCCAGGATGCCTCAGGACAACTGATCAATTTCGAAAAATCAGGAATTTATTTTACCAGAAACATTCATCCTAGGCACCAAAGAATGATCCGCCGACAACTTCATATACAAACCCTTCCTGCAAATTCTAAATATCTTGGCCTACCTCTAGTTTGGGGTCGAAACAAACACTCCCAGCTATCCTACATTTTGGATAATCTCAAAGCCAAACTTAATAAGTGGAAAGCTACTGCAATAAGTCAAGCTGGCAAAAGAGTTCTTATTCAATCTGTTCTTCAAGCTATTCCAACTCATACCATGTCTGTTGTACAACTACTCCAAAAAACTCTAAATTCTATTGAACAGATTATTAAAGACTTTTGGTGGGTCAGATCTGATTCCAACCCTCATCCATATCATTGGTGTTCTTAGAATTCTTTAGCCATCCCTAAATCTTCAGGAGGATTAGGTTTTAGACACATCAAGTTAATCAATTTAGTATTACTCAAAAAATTAGCTTGGAGATACCTTAATGAGCAGCATAAATTGTGGGCCCAAATTTGGAAATCAAAATATCTCCTTAGTCATTCTCTTTTCCTTCTAATATCCCATCAAATAGCTCTCTATTTTGGAAATCAGCTGCCCCTAAACTTCATATTTCTACTTCAGGAAATAGGATTCTTAGTTAAAACATCCTCCTCATAACATATTTCTCATCTATCCTGGATCCAAACAACTGAGAAGTTTCAAATGATACCTCACCCCATTTCCTTCCCTGTATCTCAACTTACCTTCGATGATATTATCGACCATAATACTTGGAATACCCCCATTCTACATCAATTTTTTAATACAGAACAAGTTGAAAGTATTCTACAAACCCCAACCTTTCCAATCAATGCCTCCATTTCTTGGGTTTGGACTAAACAGTTTTCGGGTAAATTTTCTTCTGCTGCAACCTATAGAGACCTAATACAGGCTTCCCTTCCCAATGTTTCTGATCAACTTGAAGCTTGTTTTAAATGGATTTGGAAACTTCCCTGCCCTCTGCGTTATCAGTTATTTATTTGGAGAATTATCCAAAACTTTATTCCTATTAAAACACAGATTTTTTCTTCTCATCAGGACCACAACTGTGTTTTTTGTCAGAACCATCCATAAACTTTGAGCCACCTTTTTCTTGATTGTTCTTTCACTCAATCCATTATTTTTGCTTCACCCTGGAATATTAATTTTTCTACTACTCATTGTACCAACTAGCTTAATTGTATTATGCATCTGCGTACTCTTTTCCCTGAAAAAACTACTTTTTTAAAAACACTTAGTTGGTATGCAATTGCACTATATTACATCTGGTTTGTGCGAAATGAAAAATCATTTAAAGATATTATTGTTTCCAATCACTGGATTTTACACAAAACTAATACTGTGTTTAATAGTATTCTACTTATACCCACTCTTCATGAACCCTTGCCGGATTCATCTCCCACCTTAACTCTGTCTGTGCAACCATATATAGATGGTATCCTTTTAACAGATGCGGGGGAGATTTCTTCTAATGAATTTTGCTTTGGAACTATCCTCCTCAATCGGCATTTGGACTGTATTCAAATCTCAGGAGGTTGGAAATCTTTGAATTTGGTTGAAGCTGCGGAACTTTTTGCTATATATCAAGGCCTCATCCAAGCGCAACAGTACAGTAAGCGGCACATTTTGGTTTACTAAAATTCTCAGGCAGCTATTCAAGCCTTACAAGGAAAAACATCTCTCCATTGGTCATTGTTGCATCTTCTTCACTGAACAATGAACTATGAACCTACTTCAAGAATTTCAATCAGTTGCTTGTATTCACATTAGTAGAAAATATAACACTACAGCCCATCAGATTGCATGCAGAAGCAAAACTGCCATACAGGATTATTTTTTGCTAGATACTTATACTTCTGATGTATCTGATATCTCAAACTATGTATCTGTATCTTTTTCTTAATATATTAACTTTTACCTTTCAAAAAAAAGGGGGTGAGTTACTCGAGTAGAGTTTTCTGACCAATAACAAGGAGACGCGCATATATGTATAAATAGGTGCATACTTCTCACTTTGAAATACATACCCAAATTTCGTACTTCAGCTGGTTGAGAGCCTGAGATCTTTTCAACTTCCACAGTAGCAAAAGGCAGTGAATATACAGATCTGCAATGAATAAAAGAAAGAAAATCTATTAAAATGAGAACCAAGTTWAGGAAATCAAGAAAAAAAAGTAACCATACCTCTACAGCATTTTAGATATCTAGCGCATACAAGAATAAGCTAGTTCCTCAACAGTCTCAATATTACTTTTCAAAGCATAATAATGAGAAGATTCATATATCAAACATCCATCACTCAATAATAAATATAAGCTCTCTATTAGCCAATGCTGTAACACGGAGCAGGAGCAGAAATATAAAGAGGACGTTGAAAACAAACCTCCAATTCTATCTTTTCCTTTTTCTTGCGATATATTCAACAAATAATACAAACACCGATTCACATGTGAGAAACAATGGCTCAACTCCTTCAAAAAAAAAAAAAAAAACATTGTAGAGACATAGTGCCGAAGGCATTAAATAATCATTAGACCACACTGAAGCTCCAAAATTACTAATAATCCAATCACACCGACGTATTGATCATCACCGAGTGTGACCAGAATAAGGAATTTTCACTGATTTCAGCAGACAATCTTATAAAACCTCAACCATCAAAAGACGCCTGATCATAAAGTGCTAACCGAGCTTTCAAGATGACAACAATACCAACATCGTATAACTAAGAAACCAATCCCACAACTAAATTCACAGCATCACAGAGGAAAAACTAAATTGAAGAAAACTCCGACCATACTTGGCTGCTAATGAGTTCAAGGAACAACACGAACCCAGAAAAGTTCCCGGTCTACTAAGAAACCCATTAATCAACAACAAATCAAGTTGCGAAATTAAATATACCACCATATACCTTGAAACAATGAATGAAGAGTTGAACCAATTCAAAGCCAATTTATGAGCTCTGGCTTGCATTTCTCTGCAGACTCCAAATCTATACATCCTCTTCTAGCAGTTCGGCTTCGGATAAAACCCTAGAACCTTTCGAAATCTCAAAAATAAATAAACAAATAACGTCTGAAACTCTACTGATAGAAAATACTAAAGAGCAAACAAATTCTCTTGTCTGCGAGAATTATATATGTTGGCATTTAAGGATAGGTTCCAATGTTCCATGTCGACTTTTCACTATACGAAATTGCTTTTATTCAAGGGATTTTATAAGATATGAAATGGTAGTTCAGTTCATCTGTATGAGTAATCGATCAATCCATTAACGATTTTATCGAACGGTATAGGACAATCTTATTATTCTTGTCAACTTGTGCGCAAAAAAATCACAAAATGGTGATGGATGTTAGCTACATGACATATTTCTCTTCTACAGTAAGATCTTATGCGGAGAACCTGGCTTGTAACTTGAAAGTAGAAAATAATAATACTATTAAAAATAATAATATTATCATCGGAGATGTTTCCAAGGCGGAAATGTGCTGGGACGTTATGGGGTGCCCACTTGTAGAGTATAATCTGAACTCTTATTTTAGTCGCTGAGCAGCTGATGATACAGCTAAAAAGGAGTTTTTCAAAATTAAGAATTTGGGAGGGTTGAATCGGGTCAAATATCACTCTTAGATCAGGATAATGGTCCGACCAACCCGAAATCAGGAGTAGTGAACTGAATGGTTATCCAAACCGATCCAGTTCAAATCAGCCCCTCACAGCACATCTCGGAGATGTTCCCAATACACGGTAATGTGCCGTGGGGTGGGGGGACGTTGTGGGTGGGGCAATCTTGTGAGAGGCTGATTTGATCTCCCCAGTTTAAAGTTTTAAATTTCCTTCTTTTAGCTTTCGGGGGCGTCATGGTGGGTGTGGGGGCCCATATTCTTTCACATAGCCCACGTTAGGTTATTATCTCGGGCCTGGGACACAGGACTACTAGTACTGTGTGGGGCCCATAGTTTTTTAAAAATTTTAAGGACTTATCGTTTAAGAGAGCTTTCACGTTGCTGCATTAGTAAAAACCTATAAGCCATATTTGATAAAAAATTCGAGAGATTTCAAACTGACCATTTTCACTTTTTCAGTTATTGAGCTGAAATATAGCTAATACCTAACAGCCTACCGAGAAATCAAAGAAGAAAACCTTCACATGCTACCCCCAGCACAACCATCAATCCATTACCAGTAACTATAGGTGTAAAACGGGCCGCAGTATGGCCTGGGCCTGTCTTTTATATAGTATATATTACATATATAAATATTTTATAATTGTAAAATATAAAATGGTATATCTAATATATATTGTAAGTGTTATATTATAACATTTGTATATATAGAATAAGAAAATTTCTATGTAGCCCATTACATAAAAAAAATGTGCTGGCCCACAGACTGGGACAGCACAACAAAACCAGTCCATGGGTCAGATTTAGACTTAGCTTTTGTCAAAATTTGAATGGGCTCAATCACAAGCGAACACAGTCCATCAACAAAACATAAAACATATGAGGTCTTTTTCTGTGTGGGCAAAATAGGATTTTACTGCTTTTTATTTTTACCTAATAAGTCTGTTTATGGCTTTTTTTATTACTAAACGTATTTTGGGTGCTTTTAGCTTTGAGGACATTGTCTCCCACATGTGAAGAGCAAACGACCGATTCAGTTTTCTAACAAGGTGGGAGCTTATCACGTAGGAGCATTGTGAAATCTCCCGTTAGAGACTAAGGCTATGTTTGGTTTAAAGGAAAGGGTCCGACTATGATATGGAAAACCATATCATATCTAAACCCTCTATTACTGCCATGTATGCAGTAGTTATCGAATTTATTTAAATAACCGGTAATTGTTTTTTATATATTAATTAAAATTTAAAACACTCTTTAACCTATCTGTTAATCGAATCCTCGTTACCCATTCTTATCTCCTTCGAGTTCCCTCTTCTGGTCGAACTTCTCCCTTTTGAAATCGTAAATCCAGTTATGGATTTGACGTAAGTAAAAGGATTTGGATTTGGTGAATACATACCCCAGGATTTATGCGAGTCAAAATAATGTTTCTCTCTTGTAACCTTATAAGTGGACCGGCAATTGGTTGATGGTTGTCAAACAAAGCTGAAACAATCTCAGATTGAACTTTGATCACCTTTCCATTGTCAACAACCTAATCATTTTATGCATATTGTTTCAAAATAATCTTGTCATCCTTATAGCGCTTAACCTCTACTAACATGCCAGCAATGCATTGGGGATCCACCTCTGTACTTATTTTCCGCTGTAAGGCATCAATTTGATCCCCAAATGATCGCATTGTGTTTACAACTATAAATGTTTCATCAAGATCAAATACCATGCCAAGACATCTAAGATTTAGCATGACAAGACAAGAATTGTAAAGCCCTGGTGCAACATTAAAACCCCAAAAACATAAATATTGTTCATCATTCTTCCTAGATAACATGGCTACCAAATGGAGTTCCTCCTCTCCTAGTGGCATAACTGCAGTCTGTAAACCAAAAATCAACAAATACAAAGCATAGTAAGTGAAAAAAATGCTTTGTGAAGTTGAAAATGAGCACATACAAGGAAATAGTAATTGAGTTGTATTTTCAAAGGAACTGAATGCTAACAAAGAAGCCGAAACACTTGATTAGTCGGTAATAGATAATTGAGTTGGGCATATTTCTGAATTTGTTACCAGCTAGAGAGATTTTGATATTTTGTTTTGTTACGATTTGTTATGTTGGAGTCGGCGCTCTACCAAGAAAGACCAGTGTTACCAATGCGATGTTGTATATACGAATTAGCAATTATAGTAATGTGAACAGAAACTGATCTTACCCTCATGAACTCACTCCCCCCCCAAAAAAAAAAAATATAGATTAATGAATCAAAAACTAACTCAATCTCCAGTGCTACAATTCAGTTACTTCACCACCTCGGCAGTTGCCTACGGATATGTGCACTGTGGAACTCTTCTTCGATGGCAGAACCCTACAACAATCCCTCCTTGGTGACTACACAGGAAAAAAGAAATCTGGTTAACGTCTTTCTTATCTTGAAATGCTTTTTTTTTTTTTTTTGAAATGTGATTTAAATAGTTCTTTTTGAAACTAGTTAATTGGGATAACCCATATTCACCGAAACCAAAAGTCAAATGTTGATTGGTCCATCTCATCCGATATGATATGGAAAAGATACTTTTTTTCATATCATAGATTTTCCCTAAGGCTCCGTTTGGTTTGTGGGATGGGTTGAGAAAAAAAGAATATTCTGATTCCAAAATCATGGATTTGGGGTCACATCAAAACCGTGCGACCCCGGTGGAAAAATTTGGGAAAGCACTATTACTACTGAAAGAACCACCATTACTAGCCTTCTTCTTCACCTAGCAAGGAACCAGTGCGAGGGGCAGCGGTGATCTCCCTTCATCTTCCTCTTCTCTCTTCTCCCTCACCTTCTTCCAATCTTCACCAGATCTGCGGTGAATCAGGCAGTGGTGACTCGCAAGCGAAGCGAACTAGAGTAGTGGAGACGAAAAACGAAGAAGAAAAAGAGAGAGAGAGAGAGAGAGAGAGAGAGATTAGAGAGGGGGCATGCAGATCTACCACCGTTGCAACTTGCAGCAGCGGTGACGAAACGGAGTGAGAGAGAAAATGGGGGAAGAGGGGAAGAAGAAGGAGAAGAGAGAAGAAGATCAGGGAGAGAGAGCGGGAGAGGTAAGTCGGAGAAGGGTTCAGATCCGCCGCTTCTCTTCCTAGTCATCGCTCTGTTCGGTTGAGAGGAGGACGAAGGTGAATACTGGATTCCTTCGTAAACTTCTCCCCTTTTTACATTTTCCCACCCCATCCCATCCCAATAAAACCAAACAATGGAAACTTAATTTTTTACACTTTCCCATCCCACCCAAATTTTCCCACAAACCAAACGGAGCCTAAAGGAAAAGGAAGGGAAACCAATACAAGGTTTGTAAAGGTTTCTCTACCTTTCCCTACATTTTCCTTCAAATACAAATACAAATATGTACAGTGTAAATGCATACAAAATACAAAGTTTTGTACTCTACATATTTGTATTTGTACTCCTTCCAAACTGAATCATAGGCTTAGTCTGGAAAGAGTACAGATACAAATATGTGCAGTGTAAATGCATACAAAATAATACAAAATACAAAGTTTTGTACTTTATATATTGYATTTGTACTCATTCAAAACTGAGTCATAGGCTTAGTCTAGAAAGAGTACAAATGCAAATATGTACAGTGTAAATGCGTACAAAATAATACAAAATATAAGGCTTTGCACTCTACATATTTGCATTTGTACTCCTTTCAAACTCAGCCATAGTGTTTTTTTTTTTTTAAGTACAAACACATAAAATTTCATTCATTGCGATCTCGGTTGAAAAGCATCTTTTGAAATTGGAAATTTTGAATAAAAAGAATGTTATGCATTGAGGGAAATCATTAATGGGGGAAGTCATACATGTGCTTAGGATTTACACACGAGTTGATCAATGTGGGGTTCTCCCTCACATGTGAGTTTCTTTATTTCTTTATTTCTTTATTTGTCCAAGGGGAAGTCACTAAAACCATGAGAGTCACCATGTGCATCTATCAATACTTGTGTCCAACTAAATTTCCAGCCTTGGTACTAGGTGTTGTACATTGAGGGGTGTAATCACTGTAGCTAATGCAATCGGTATGGACCCCAAACAGTTGGCCTAGTCTCTAAAGATCCATGAGAATGGCGCTAAAGAGAGAAGAAGATGGAGAAGAATTATTGCATAGAATGGTGGAGAGGAGGGAGAGAGATGCTCCAAGGAACCCTAGGATTAGGGTTATACGATCATCTAGCATGGGGGAGCGTTGCTCCCCTTTTATAAACAGGATCTTGAGGCTATTAAGAGAAGATCCCAAAAGAGGTTTTTCCTGGGATCTTCATCCTCATGTTAGCTATTAGGCGAACTCCATTAAGGTTTCGCCATGTGTCTAATAAGACTTTCTAGGAAAATGGTTTCATTTCCCTAAGGATTCTCACATAGAACATATTGGCTACACCCCTCCATGGGTTCTCTCGCAGTCACGTGTCAGGACATTCGATCGGACAATGTGTTCGAATGTCCCTATAAGAGATCTTTGGAGCATTTC